GGGCCTGGCGGCCGGCGAAGACCTTTTGCTTGACTGTCAGAATGAATATTGTCCCTCTCGGAGGTGACCTTCTACTTCTCGGCGGCGGCGCCGGGGAGGAGGAGGAAGAGGAGGAGGAAGATGAGAGGTGGTCAGGCTTCGTCTTGATGCTCGGCGTGGCAGTCAATCGGTCCCAAGTTCTCTTTTGCCAGGTCTCGAAATGTTCCCGCATTTGCGCTCGATCCGCGTCGGGCCCATTTGACTTTCTCTCGGCTCCGGATTTGGTCGCAGTCGCGCACCGCGGGTGTCGTGCCGTCTTCTGCCGCAACGTTTCGGGCAGCGCTGCGCTCGGCGCGATGTCGCCGCAGCGGAGTTCTCCGCGAGCGGGGGCCGAGAAGGTCCCCGACGAATGTCGAGGTAACGCGCGGGGTTCCGTGCGCGCGGCCGCTTCAAACTTGAGCGCTCATCGCCGCTCGGCCGTCCGCGGCAATCCGCGCTATGTCTTAGCGTTGAGCTAAAGGACTTTGCGGCGCTGAAATGAGGCGCTTCGGCCTTGAAATTTTCGGGGCCTCCACATTGTCGCGTTCGATTCGCTTTGCCAAATTTTGGAGCGTGTCATTTCAAGGTGTTGTTTTTTGTTCGCCGACCCCCGCCCCACTGCCCGAGCCCGACGGAAGCCATTTGACGAATCCGGCTGAAGGGATTCATTTCAATGAGCGCTCCTTTCACAAACAACTTTCTCCCAAATGAAAGCGCAAGAATCCATTTGTTTGCGACGGCTTAGCACACGTCGTCCTCTCCTCTGCGTAAAAATCTTGAAAAGGTTTACCGGCCAGTTAGATGGCGCGGTTCATTCGCGACTGATCCCGGTTGAAAAACGAGAGCTCTCCGAAATGTTTTCCCAGCCTGTTGTTTCATAGGTCCGTTTTCCGTTGGAGTTGCTGTGCGAGCGACAGACCTTGAAGCGAGCACGCCGGACCTCTTTCGAGAACTGGCGAGCTTGGACAAGTTCGAGCGCTGTCCCGATTTTTCAGGCATTTCATTTGGGTTGTTTTCTTTCCCCATATTGCAGATTTGCAGCTTTCGCAGGCTGGCTGCGCAAAACACACACACATGGGCGGGGGAGTGTGGGGGGGGGGGGTGTTCCTTTCACCGGCACATTGCTCCTTCTACTTTGCTTCCTTGCGTCCATGTCAGCAAAGAGAGAGAGGAAGCAAATCAAAGATTCAGGAGAAAAAGCAGCTTTTTTTTCCTTTTCATTCCTCATCTGCCTTCTTATCTTTAATCGGACATTTTTTGGGGCCTTTGTGATATCTTCTAATCCCCGTGTGTGTGTGTGTGTTGTATATTCCTTCTGCAGGATTATGAAATTTGGAATTAAAAGTGACCTTTCTCATGTGCGTGCGTGCGTGCGTGCGTGGAGCCTGGCAACGTGAGCTGCGTGACAAGCAACGTGTTGATTTCAAGGAGAAGGCATTCCGCGGCACGAGCGAGCCGTCGTGCCGTGCGCACACGTCCGCTTGAAACGAGCTGAGCAAATGAGTCTCGGGTCGCGACGCGGGGCGCCTTTTTTTCCGCTGTCTGTCGCCACTTTCAAAGTCGGCGGCGAGCTCCTCCTCGTGATGGCGTTCAGCGGGCGTGTGTCGCTGCGGACGCTTGGCGGAATGTTGCGCCGGCTTCAACTCGGGTCCCAACTTTGGCGTTGGCATGTGCAGACGTGTTGTGTCCCGCACGCTTGCTCAGACCCCCCCCCCCCCCCCACGCACACACCTCACCACCCGGGAGGAGGAGGGCGAGATAATCTGTGTGTATGTTTCAGGCTAATTATTAGTCATTAGCATATTATTCTCATGGTGTCACAGCGATGCCTCAAGTGCAACGCGCACGCGCGCACACGAGCGCCGGGTTGACTGCTGCATTATTCATACTTGACCCGAGGCAAGTTAGCGAGCTCGGCTCCGGCTAAAGCTGTTAGCAGCCAGTCGCTGTTGCCGCGCAAACACGCGCTGAACGCTTGAGAGCCAAAACGCGGCCCTCGCGCTTTGAAAGAGTGCGCGTGCGCCCGCGCGACATCCGTTGAAGTTGAAATCTCGACTGGGACTGAGCTTCTTCTCCCGGAACGTGCCCGTCCGTCTCCCGGCCGCGTATCGATGCAGATTTGGCGATTTCGCACGCACGGCGGCCAAAGTCGGGCGCTCGGCGAACGTTGGACACCAAGCGCGCCGCCTCCCAGACAAGCAAACTTGGAGTCGCCGCGGCCTCGGCCCCGTCGCGACGCCATTCAAGTAGAGCGGCGCGTCGTTTTCGTCGCTCCCAAATACATTTCTTGCCGTGTGATATCAACGGCGCTCCGACGGCCCGTCCGAAGCCCCCAAATCACGATTTGTTGCACGTCAAAGTTCAATAGCAAAGGATTTGAAAAATACCGTCCACAAAGACCTTTTGAAAGCGACTGCCGACCTCCCTCCCGCTTGCGAGCTTGCTTGACGAGCCGACGGGCGTCTTACGACGGTGGCAAAGCTGCCGATTTGGACTCGGATTTCATTGCGAGCGCAGAGGGAGCCGCGGGGAGGCCGGCGCGCCTCGCTCGGATTCCGCTTCGCCGCCCGTCGCGGCGTTGCCGACATCTTGAGGTGCGATGGCGGCGTGAATGTTTTGATGCTCCGGAGTGCTCGCGACGGCTCCGCTCATCTTGGCGGCCCAAGATCTTGTGTCGGCGGCGTGTCCGAAGCGCACGTCGCCGACGACAACGTGGACTGCGTCCGCGGACGCTTTTCTTTTCTCCATCGCACTTTGGCTTCGGCTTAGTGTTAGCTTTGCCCTCTGAGTGCGCGTGAGTGCACATGCATGTGTGTGTGTGTGTGTGTGTGTGTGTGTGTGTGTGTGTGTGTGTCACCAGTTAAATGCCACCACTGCTGTCTGTCATTGTGTGTCCACTGTCACCTCTAATCTCACACACACACACACACACACACACACATGCGTGCACGCAATGAGGCGCCGCAGGAGCTGCCGGAAGCTGCCGTGTCATTGTGGCGGCCTGTCCTGTCTCGTCCAATCAGCTTGCAGAGTTTACGTTAGCACATCGTGCTAACAGATAACTGGGAGGGCTATGGTGCAGGCGTGCACACACAAGCTAATTAGAAGTGTGAAACCAGGCTTGGTTAATGTGTGTGTGTGTGTGTGTGTGTGTGTGTGTGTGTGTGTGTGTGTGTGTGTGTGCTTGGTTGTTTGTGACGGACAGACAAAGGCAGGAAGGAAAAGTCCGTTTCCTGAAAGTTTGGCACAGCGAAACGCTTTCTGCCTTCTTTTCTAGCTTCTCTGTCCTCCCTCACTGTGTGTGCGCAAGAGAGACATGTTGGCTATTGATTTTCTGCTGTGATTTGCCCCACACGAGATATCAATACACAATTTTGTTTGCGTTGCCTCTCAATGTGCTCACGTTGGTTTCCATAGCAACGTAAATATCCCAGTTGGCCGCCTGCACACACACACCAACAAATAAGAGCATCACGATGAGGGTTGCCGTGCTTGTCAGCAAGTGATAAGTGATGTCATTGGAGTCAAAAGAGTCATTGATGATCATTCATCAAACATCAATGACAGAAACTTGATTATTGATCAGCTGAAAATTAACCCAGACACACACACACACACACACACACACACACACACACACACACACACACACATAGTGGATTTGTCCTCAGGGTGCGTTTCTGTTCCCTGTCATCACTCTGCCAACATGCACAGAATGCTACATGATGTGTGTGTGTGTGTGTGTGTGTGTGTGTGTGTGTGTGTGTGTGTGTGTGTGTGTGTGTGCGCGTGCGTGCATGTGCGTGCGCTCACATGTTGGCTGCAGGGTGCTTGGTCTTGATTTGATTTCCTGTCAGCAAAGGGCCCTAAAGATGAAAGTCCACATGCTAAGGTATTGCGAGGCCATTTTGAAGCCACCTAAGACGTTTTCGTCGCTACTGTTGCCTCGTCCCGATCGTGTCCGGAAGTTTGCGCACTTGTGTAGCGTGCGGCCCTTGTAAGCGTGTTCACAAAATGCGGAGCGGTGGCATCGAGAGAAAAAGCGGGGCGACTTGGGGCCCTCTGGAGACATTTTGGCCTCAAGGTGTCGCACGTCGAGCGCAGCGAAATGGTTCGGAACATCTGTCGTAGCCTCATGTCCGCATCCCGAGGCGACGCGGCCGGTCGTCGTCGTTTCAAGTTCACTCGTGAAGGGGAAATTCTGTCGGTCCATTTAAAGACGGCGCGAGGACCTTGTCAACTGACCGCAGCTCGCTGTCGTTCTTTTGATTGCTGACGTTTTTGTGCACGTGCGTGTTTTTCAGCGTGTCTGTTGGGACAAGGCCCCGACTGCGCTCTGATTCAGTCCAAAGACGACGACTCGGACTGGGAACCGGGGCCGCCGCCGCCTCCTCGGCATGCCGACGCCTGGATGCCAACAGGTAGCGCAGCGCGTCTGTCTATCCCTCAGGGAACCTGCTCGAGCCCTTTCACCTTCTTAAGAAAGCCTTTTGGCTCAAGTAGACAGGAAAAGACATTCAATGTCACGAAATGAAAGGCGGCGCGTCGTTACTGCGTGGCCAATAACGGGCGTGTGCGGGTTCTCTTCAAGCGGCGAGTGGACACTTTGCCTTGTCTTTTTTTTTTTTTTTGCTTGTTGCACTCGAATGCAGCACCACAGACTATCTGCAGCTTTTCTTATCTGGCAACACTTTCTCCTCTGACTTATGGACGCACACTTCACACTCCGCTACGCACAACACCGTTGCTTGTGTGTGTGGGTGTGGGCGTGTGTGCGCGCATTCTGAGATGCCGTTTGTCACATGCTCTCCGAGGTTACTCTGCTGACGAATGAGAACGTGGCGCTCTTAAATCAGGCAGCCAATCATGTACGAGACAATGTGAGCGAGGACACACAGACTGTCCTACTCGCTCTGATTCACATCCTCCTCGCCTTTCTTCGAGCACGCGTCTGTGCGCGTGTAACTAATTGCAACCAATGGAGGCTATCAGATGACACACAAACATGCACACACACACACACACACACACGGAGCAGCGGGAACAAGTCGAAACTAGTTTTTGTGCGCGTGCGTGCTGCTCCCACGACGACGCCACCAGCGCCATTTCACTTGCTACTGCAGCAAGTCTGAATTTCAAGTTGCACCTGCAGTGCAGTACCACCTTGCGCCACAACAGGCCAATATGGCAGCACTGACCTCTATCGGATGCAGAGATCCAGTGTAATGAAGAGCAAGAAGATCCCCGACTAAACTCGGGTAAAAATGCTCCAGCGCTGAGTCGTGACGGCGTGACTGCTCCACGCGCGTCAAACAGGCTCCGCTTGAAGTTTTCCACGAGGCGGAGGGCTCATTTCATCCTCAAGGTGGCGCCGTGTGCTTCGTCGGCTAGCCAAAAGGACTCAAAGTGCAAATCAACCATTTCCAATGCAAGCGGGACAAAAACGAAGCACTGCGATGAAATGTCTTCGAAAGCCCACCGATTCAGAGTCATCTGGAAGCTTGTCGCACTCTCCCACTGCGCTTCCTGGAAACAACGCACACACACACACACACACACACACACACACACACATAATGTTTGTTTGTTTTTTCTAATTTCTTCTTATTTCACTTGACCATGTTGACATTTTGAATTACTATGGCAACCACAACATTTCTCAGTCGGTCACACTGCTGCACACACTCATTGATTTATTCCACTGTGTGTGTGCGCGTGTGTGTGTGTGTCTCTGCAGAGTTCAGGCTATATTAATATTTCTAATAGGACTGTTATCAGCTCACTGCCAGCTGCACACAAAACACACAGACGCGCGCGCGTGCGCTCAAGCTGAGGCTTGAAGGCAAACCCTGCCATACACACACACACACACACACATGCACATACACACACACAGACACACACACACATACACATACACACACACACACACACACACACACGCTAGCTGTGTGTTATTTATTTCCCCACAATGTCGGTATGGATCAAAGAGACCTGGAGGTCAAAAAGAAAATATTTTTAGTGTGTTCATGCGGATGCAGGGAGACACACGTATACACTCACACGTACACTCACACATACACGTTACTAAGGAATTGTGACTGAGGTGGCCTGCAACGGAGCATATTCTCGGCCAGACGATCGCGATGGTGGCAGTGAATCCTTTTCCACTTTGGGGGAGGAGCCTCCGCTTTCTCGCAGCGCCACAAGCGCTGATGACAGCCCTCGTGAGCTTTTGCAATTGCTGCGCCTTGTTTCGGTATTGCGCGGCGGCGGCTGCTTGTGCTCATGGCAGCGATGACGAGCTTTTCCATACTTTGGAAGGAGTTGGCCTTCCTCGCCTTTCAAATCCCTCTGCCCATTTTGCACATGGTTTTGAAAACGTCAAGGTTTCAGGGTCTGCTCCAAGTGCTCGTCACCGGTCATGAGTCTTTCCCGTCGTCAATTTTCTTTTGGGCATCTTCGAAGCAGGACGCGTCCGGCCGCAATATCATCGGCGGCTTGCGAACAAAACGAGCCGTCTCTTTCAGGTGGAGGAAAACGAGGGCTTTTTTTCTTTTCTTTTGTTCTTTTGTAATCCTTCAGATTGGCCGGCAAGCAGTTTAGGGTGTCCCCCGATCTACTGCCCGAAGACGGCTGGGATAGGCTACGCCTTAGTCGCCTCTGCTTTGCTTCGAAATAAAACAAAATGTTGTTTTTATTCCCCTTCAATGACCCCCCCGCACTTTGAATCCCGTGATGGCACCACACGGTTATCATCCCATCAGACTCGAATGTGGGCTCATGCCTCAGTTTGGCCGACGGAGGTCCTCCAACAGCGTCGCGCGCGCGCGCTACATGCTAACGTGATGCGCCGGCTGTCAGTCACGCGTGACTTCTTGCGCCCAGGCTCATCGCCCTTCCTGTTTGCGAACACGAGCGGTCGCGGCGCCGGGCGGCGCGCTCGTCTGCTGATGTCGCCGCTCAAAGAGAACGACACGCACTGCATCAGTTTCCTCTTCTATCAGGACGCCACGCTCAACGTCTACGTCAAAGGTACGGCCGCGTCCCGTGTTGCGCGCGCGCCTCGACGCTTGAGAGTGTTCCTGTTTGTTGCAGAGAACAGCGGTCCCCTGGCGCTTCCCGTCTTCAACTCATCCGGTCACGGGCGCCGCACGTGGAACGCGTTGGAACTGGCCGTGTCCACGTTCTGGCCAAACCTCTACCAGGTCACTAAACGCGCACTCAAAAGGTCACACGCTCCGCGCCTCTCGTGGCTTCTTCCTCTCGCGTTGAGGGCTGCGCTTGGTAGTGAGGCTTAATTGCATTAGGAGGGTTGGGAGGGAGGCCGGGGGGGGGGGGGGCTCCCCCTGCACTGCACAAGTAA